AAAAGCTTATCAGCTAAGTTGGCTAAAAATGATTAGTCAATGTTATCAAATTGGTCTTGGGGAAAGCTGCATGTGTTGATGCATTCTTTGAAATTTTCGTATACAGCTTTCAAATGTCCTCATCAGAAACAACACGATGCCAAATTCAGAACTTTACGTCTACCACGTTTTATATGAATTAGGCACCAGCTGTTCTCAAAGATCATGGCCAGGTACCTTACTGATTTATCAATTTTCAGTTTTTTGTTGTTTTTGACAACATAATAACACTGTTTACCCATGTTTTGGTGCCGAGAACCTCCTTTTTACAAACTTTTACAATATATCCGCTCGTATTTCAAATGTATATTTTGCAGGAAGAATTTTTTTTTAACATGACATCATTGAAATTGGCCTCTGATAAAATGTTTCTAATTGTCATGTGTGAGCCTAGCTTTGAAGGATACGCTTTGACTTGACAGCCAGGCACTCGCTTGTTGATAAAGGCTGCCGCCACTTCTGCTTTTGATTTTCCAATGTCACTTTTCCTGAAGGAAGAACATTGCATGTTAGAGCTGCTATGAGAGGGCAGCAGCACAGGACTGGATCTGATACAGATGGCAGCCACCAGCACATACCTAAAGAGAAACTGTCGATTGAGGTTGGACAGGTCAATAGTGTCCATGTCGATCACATCTATGTGCCGGAATCCCATTAAGGCCTGCAGAAAAGTACACAGACAAGAGTTCAACTTTCATATTTCATCATCTTTTTATGCCTTCCATAGAAAAAGGAGGCACACATATATCCCAACATGCCGAAGCAACAACAATGACGAATAGTTCATGATGTGCAAATGAGTGTTGCGTGTCAGAGTTTTAGCTTTACCTAAGAAGATGGATGTCTTTTTCTCGCTGGAAGTCCATAGTAGAAGTACTAACCAAGGTTTGAGGGCACCACTTCAAAGCACGCAAGATTTCGCAAATTAAAATGAAGTGCTGAATTTATCGCATTGTCTTAAAACATTAAATTTTTTAACGCACTGTTCAAAAAGTGAGTACCTGAATGACTTAATAATGAGAATCGCTTAAAATAATAAAGACAGCAACACGCGACTTTAATAGGCATGAAAAGCTACGAAATTGAAAACTGAATTCTCATTCTAAACAATGAGATGCAATCTTACGTGAGCCTGCATGCTCTAATTGTTTACCTGCCAATGTACACCCCCAAAGCAACAAGTAGCTTTATTTAGTCAAGTTGACAAGAGCTATGAAGACTGAAGTACAGAAAGGGACATGACAATCTCTTGCACGTACATCACTCAACATACAGAAAAGGTGTGCTGAAACAACAAAACAGTGCTATTGACAAACGACAGGAACTAACTGAAAGAGTGGACGTGAAGGTTAGCTGTACATTTTGTCACACGACATTCAAGATTTGTGAAAAATAGGCAAATGTGTGAGGCATCTTTCCTACGTAATATGAGTATTAAAAGTGTGCATGATGCTTAACTAATTTTACAGCTAACATTGTCCACAACTTACACACATAAGAAATTCAATCTAACTTTCTGAATGAATGAATAAATAAACGAATGAATGAGGATGGCTTACCAAGTCTTTGAGCATCTCGCAGCCTAAGCCACCAGCTCCAATAACCAGAATTTTGCACTTGTCTCGAATCATCTCCATGTTCTGCAATTGTAGGAAAGCATAGGCTAAGTTTAATCACATATATTGGCCTGCACTAGAAATAAAATAAATCTGCCAACTCAGTTTAAAAGGCCCCACAGCACATTTACAAGCAGCCAGCACTAAAGAAGCTTACTGCTTCGTGAATAGACCGCCGCGAAATTCGTTGCATGCTGTAATTGCTTTTTCCCTCCTTTTGTTGCGAAGAAAGCACTGAAAGCTAAGCAGGGAGGGATGGCACGGGGGAGGAGAGTACTTCATATGCGCCTAGTGACCTTGAACAGTTTTGTTTTTGTTTTTTTAATTCTATGAAAGCGCGGTTTGTTCAGCGCGATTGTCCTCTCGCGCACTGACACATGGCGGCTGCAGTAACTCCTGAGCGCCCCATGCTCAAATGAGCCAACAGCGTAGAACTTGAGTCCATGAAGCAGTGATTTTGGGCTTGTAGCATCATTTGTCGAGAGAAGAGGAAGCAATTTCCGGCTGACAAGAATTTAGTAAAAATTCTAGGCTGTGTGCTGTGCTGTTTCTCTAGCGTATTTTCTGGAGCCTCGACTAGCATTCATCAAAGCTTTCTGGCTATGCCGAAAAAGTGTTGCAGGGCCCCTTCATGCACTGTGGAAATGGATTCAGAACTAACATTCAAGAATAAACAGAGCCCACCAATCAGGGCAACATAATGATCTCATATTTCGCTTGCTATGCTTATGCTTTTGAAAGTATGCAGGATTCTTCCCAGTTCACCAACACTGCATTGATTGATTAGGCATGGAAGGCTCACATGTGGGCAATAATAGATAAGTACATGTACAACCAAGTTTAAAAGATAAACTTTAGCAGGATAACTGGTAGCATGTTGACTTTGTCAAACTGACACTGTTCCATAATAGTGTAAACCAATTTCAACTCTGTTCACTAACTTTTTTTTTTTCAACGAGTACTCTTAAAGAAACTTTTGGCCAATACAGCCTGCCGTCTCATAAATGACATGCACTAGTCCTGGAAAGTAAATATGCTGCTTAAAATGTCGCAAGAAGAGACACATAAAAGCAACAGCAATGTCCTTTTCCTTAAAGTTCGATAACGAGAATACAAATGTTTCAGTTTCAATTAATCGATTGGCTTACACTTCAAATATAAGATTTTGTACAGCTGCTGCCACATATACATGCCATCTGAAACAATCCTGGCAAACATTTTTTTCTTTGCATGACAAATATGCCTGTTGTAAGCATGTTTCTTGCTAAGATGTATTTCCGACAGATGGACTGATGGTGCTCTTTTGCATCTTCCTTCCCTTTTTTTTTTTTCTTGTTTCAAGCTCCATGCCAGAAACAACTTTAGCAAGCACAGACATTAACTAGCCCAGAAACAAGTTCTTGAGCATCTGAAACAAGGTTATCTTTTTCTTGCCGTCAAAACATTTCATTGCAACTGCTTTGCTATCGAGGAGTGATCGCTCAATCGTTGGTACACGTAGCAACGAAAAGCAGGACAACATTAAAACGTACCCCAGGGCCTGGCTCGAAGTCTGGGTGCACAAAAGGGCCGGGCCGGAGAAGAATCTTTTCAATGTGCGTCCATCGCTTTGGCCAGTCAGCTCTTTGGAAAAAAAGGCAAACAGAAAGGTAGAACCAGCAGTGGTCGATAAGACGCGTGAAATCTGCCCACATTTGCAGCACGCAACTACGGGTAAAGACCTTTTTTTTTTTTCTAACGGTGTGTTAGAAACGTGCCTACTATGCTAAAACTCCGTTTGTGCAGCAGAGAAGCTTCAGGCAGGTGAAAAAAAAAAAAACCTGGCCAATCGAACTAGCTTATTGCCAAGCTCGCAAGCACACTGTTTGCTAGTTACGGTTACAGGCTAATAAAGATTGGAGTTTCACTGTAGTCCAGTTAGCCCAGGCGGAAAATTTCGCTTTGGATAACGAGTTAACGCACCGCATGTAATACGCAATTTACTCGGTCAAGCTTACCGAAACGAGGCACCACATTTAAGGAGGGTAGTCCTGCCGAATTCTGAGCCTGTGATGAACTTATTACATCCGCGTTTATTATGCTATATCAGTGCAAATACAAAATTACGATAACAATCTTAGCATTACGGGCACATGCATGAGTGAAACATACCGTAATAAAGCGCATAATTTCCACAATCGGAAGAAGTGCCAACAGTCAACAGCGAGCATACAACACCGGCTGACAGCTAACCCACAAACAAGTCAGATACAACCTTGCGCGGCTGTCAGTCATTTTCATAGCATGGCGTTCTTTATAGAACCATGAATCATCCGTCTTAGATTTAAACAGTCTCAATACGTGATGGCAGGTATGAAAGAAGGCGGTGCAAAATAGCGGCAGTATATGCGAAAGATAATTGTGAAGCTTTCCGAGGTCATTAAACATGCACCACGTGCTGTGTATTGATTTGGTTCGTATATTAATTGCGTGCACATTTTTTGCGTGCACTAATTAAAACTTTCAACTGCACGTACGCGAACACCAAGGGAAAGAAAATGTGTTACCCGTCAACATCCATATCGAGAGCCATTTCGGAGCAGGCGGCCTTCATCAGTTTTCTTCTTGGATTGTTGTGGATTGGATAGTATGCGGATTTGCGCACCCACCCAGAGCCAGCATTGAATGAACTGAGAACCGAAACTAACGATTGCGACAAAATTTCAAAACTTTACTTTTGCTTCCTGTATATGCTGTATAAAACAAAAGGCAGAAACTCAGCAATTGTTCCCAATTTCCTCCTTTTACTATAATTGACTTCGCGGGTATTCACAAACACACACACACGAGCAATAACTTTCTTATTTTGCATGCACTGAGCAGATACCGCGGCACGTGATTCATTTTGCACTATTTGTGCTGTCGGAATATGAACAATTTATTCTTAACTGCACTGCGGCTAACGCTGGTTTTGCGCTGTATCGGAAGCACGTTCTAAAGCAGGACAAGCAACGAGTTGTTTGTAATTTGCGCCATTATCATTAGGAAATGCGGCTTACCGCCTCGATTTCAAGGCAGTGAATCACCGAAGAACCCTACTTTCTATTCTGTCGATAACTCCACATCTCGTTCTCCTATGTTCTGCGTTGCAGCCTAAACCAACTCGTTCGAAGTCAAAAGGCTCCTCAGTTTACTCGCACTAAGATCTACCGTTAAAGCCAGCCAACAGTTGGTTGACTTGCAGCGCTTGCTCCTCCGCAGTAGCTTCTCGCAACGGAGAACAAAGGAACTAACGACCACAATGAAGCAAGCGGAGCGGTACCGCGCTGAGAAGCCTGTTTGTGAGATGCTTTTGGCGATCGCGCGTTTGGGCGGGTTTTGGGGGCGCTGCCGTTGAGACCGCTGAGACCCCCCCGACCTGCCTGCAAAAATCGATCCGCAAAAGGGAGTAGTGCAGCAGAGAGTTCTTTCCGTGATGTCCTCGCTGCTGGAAATGAAAATGTGCCGCTTTTACCACTCGTGTGTGTTACACTAGTCAAAAAGTGTCGGCCCTGTGGACTAACCTGTGACTTCGCCAGACTATCAACATGACCAAGGACAGGCTCGCCGCCCTAAAAGCGGTAAAGTACCAATGTAACAAACGGCGACTGCGGGGCGGGTTGCATCGGCACTGCGCTACCGTCTTGGGACGGAAACCAAGTAGCCGTTTGAAACGTTTTGTGGGCAGAAACGTGGTTGTTGGGCTTTTGTTTTCGACCGGCCGACTTTCGACGACGTTACTCGGACTTATATAGTGCTTCACGTCACGTAGTTCCGGCTCCTGACCTCCTGGGATGGGGGGAAAAAAGTGGCATCGTTCTGTTTGCACGTAATACAGGCACAGTTGTAGTTACCTGACTCGAACTTCCAAAGGAGCGCAGTACGTCCGAAAGGAAAGAATCAACTTTCACCCGCACGGCACCGTTGATTGTTGCCTGGCGGCAGGACAAATGTCCACATGCCTTCTGCAGTGCCCAGTTGAGACGCGGTTTCGTGTTGTGAAGCTAACCAGGGGCACGCATTGAATCGATCAATTTCACGAGCGATGTGAGTGCTTAAGCCTAAAATTTCTCGCTCAACACCTTCCAAGATGCACTGCCGATCGGCGATCTCGGAAGAGCAACGCGAATATGTAGCGATTGTGCGAAGCTCGCCGTTGGTTTCGCTGCCGCAGTGTGCTCCGGCCGCACACGCAAGCGTGCCGTGGCGCTCTGCTCATGGGCGCAGCACTTCGCTACCGATCAACACTCCCTCGATTCACGGCGGGAGCGGTAGTGGGGGGCGGTAAAATCTCGCGTGTGTTTGTATCGTTGCCCGGATAACTGTCACACGGGGCCGAGGTACGAAACCAAAGATCGTCCCCACCTCCTCGATGGTACGTTGGGGGTGGGTGTAATCAAATCGCCGTGTGGTGATTGTGTTGGGCGCGAACGCAGCTGCGGTCTTTGCCGAGTTTGGTCGATTAGGAAAAAGTCGTCGAGCGATGTGTGTCCGTCCGCTCGTTGGTAGTGTTCTGGCGTGCTAGAGAAGGAGGAGAGGTGGTTCCGCTTTGCTGGATACGACCAGTGTTTTTATTTTTTGGATCGTAGTAGTGGCGAGATGGTTTGTGGAAGGGTAACCTCTCTCTGCTTGGCGTGTGTCACAGGGTCACCCTCTCGCTCTCCCGGACCTTTGGCGACGCCAGCCGGAGGGGCGTGGGTGTTTCATTCACTGCCGACGTCAGAAGTGCGGCGGCGTCTAGAGTAAGGGACCTCTCTCTCGCAGGAATTCGATTAGTCAGCGCTAATTGGCCGGTCCCGATGAAATGCCGTCATCGGTAGCCGCCAATATAAACTAGCCCAAGACGCTCGGCTTATTGTGTGGACGGTCGCCGCGGAGATGACCGCTCGATTGTTCAGCCAGGGACATTTTTAGGGACATTTTTACATGTCCCACCCACCGCTCTGGAATGCGAAGCTCCTCTCCCTGTAGTCGTGTGTACGCAAGGCGCGTTCTGATCGGGTGTCGCGGCGCTCTCAGATCTTGCCGGCCAGCCTGTTGATTTGACAGGCCGCTCCGAAAATAACGGCGGCTTGCATGGTGTCACACAATTCGTGTTTGCGCTGCCGCACTATCTCGGGACTGGAGATTTAGGGGCGGAACGCTTTCTTGTGGCATGCCGTCGGATCTACAAGCAGTGCCAGCTTCACAATGCTAGACAATCTTGTCTAATGGCAGTTTTCTTTATTGTGCCTTGCCGAGTTCCAGAACGATGTTTATAGCGCAGTATATTTTGGCTCTTCTGCGTCGCATGTGAGCCACAAAGGTTCAACTTCTGTTCTGAATAACAAAACATTTGAAGACACAGAATGGCAGGATCAAAATAATGTAGGTAGTGCAATTAAATGTAGCTCCGTGAACTAGCCCGCCTTCATGTCCATGTCAATATAGCTACCTTTTGAAAGGGGCTCGCTCCTTTATTGCGTTCGGAGAGCGAAACCCCTGGGTTTTTTTCAGTGTGCTTTGCTCACATCCCACGCAGCAAGTGTTTGCGACACCAACTTGCTAAAGCAGCAATGGAAATGTGTGCAGAGAAAATGCACACATTGGCCATGCAGCTAGAAGAATTATTAGAAAGGAGTGTGGTTGTCCATAGCAATCTCCATAAAACCAACTTTTTTTTTTAATTGCTCAGAGAATATAGAAAATGTGGAAGTTATTTAGATCATGTCATAGGAGGTCTGAACTAGCAACCAGGTGTGTGTCGGGTGCTTTTATAAGTACGTCACATGTTGGAACTTGTTTCTAAGAGTGCATAAAACATTGTCTATAGTTTATGCATAATGGTCGCTGGACTAGTTAACCTATAATAGACATCAAGCACATTTTCAGCTGAGGGGTGGGCAGATGGTCTTCAGATGTACTGTTGGCTAATTGCTGTCTTAACTTGCCTACACTAATAAAAATTCATGCTGTTTTGTTAAGGAATTGGGGTTGTTTCTGTTACGTCTAGACCAGCTGCATCGATTGCCTTCTATTTTATTCTTTGTTCCTAAATTCTTTTACCACGCCTTGGCAGACACATGTGCATCTCGAACAGCAGTTGTGTAGGGCCTCGTTTATGACTCTTCACGAAACCTTTTGTTGTGCGCAAGCAAGTTACGCTCATCGCACCCCGCACTTATCCCCTCTGTGCGGCCTGTTGCGCTAATGGAGCTGGTGACTCATACTTCCTTGTTTGTCCGGATATGCGAGAAGACGCTCGTGTCACTTGCACGTAAATCTTGCACAGGCCATTCATGTTCTCGTTTTGCATATGCACGTGTAACGTCACATTTCTGATCTGCCGGTAGGCCTTGCACAGCACTCTTGCATTGTTGAGTGATGTCCATTTTTTTCTCTCCTCGTTTTAATACACGAGAGAAATTGGGAAATGGCACCTACTTCGTTGTTTATCAGCTGCGCTATCACTGGCTTGTCTTTATCAGGTTACATATTTTAAATGCAGTTTTTGCACATACATTCTATTCTTTGGAACTATTTGAATTAAATTTGAGCAGAGCTCTGTCCATGCACCACTGCCATGTTTTCATGCCCTCAGTCAGCCTAAACAAGATCATCAGTTGCTGTTCAACCCTTCTGTGGGATATTCAATTGCTAGCTGCCTTGTGGGAAACTGTTCACGAAGTTGCAAGGTTCCAGCTGTGTTTCATTAAGCATGTTGCACAATGTTGGTAAACGAATGCACACCTTCACTCTTCGCTTGCTTTGTAGACTCCCTCTAAGTTCCGTTTTTGACCCAGAGGTCGCAGGATTGAATCCCAGAATTATTTTCATAAAGGCGAGATGCTACAGCTCCATGTACTTGGGTTTACGTGCCTGTTAAGAATCTAAGGCGGTCAAAATTTACAGAGCCCTCCGCTATGGCATCCTTCATAATATCTTGGTTTTAGAAAGCAAGACCCCAGCAGTTATTATTATTGCTAAAATGTTTCCATTTCATGTCATTTTATTTTATTATACCCCTCAGGGCCAGAGGCATTACAGAAGGGGAGTGGTAAGAATACTGTGCAAAAAGAAAAAGTCACAAAAATACAATAAAACAAACAAGTGAAATAAAACGCATATGAAACAAGGGAGAGAAGTGCGAACTTACAGTGAGTTTAGAAAAATCCTGGTATACGATGTTAGCTACGGAATCGAGGAACTGTTTATGATTAATAATGTTTACAACGTCCACGCGAAGGCCATTTCAATCACGAGAGGTTCATGGTAGAAATGAGTGTTCAAAGTGGGCAGTATTACATGAAGTGAGTCCGACATTATGATGATGGTCTTGTGCCTTGGGATATAACGTTAGCTCAAAGATGAGGCGATCGCAAAGTGTAGAATGATGATACGTTTTGTGGAACAAGGCAATGCCCGACACTTCTCTGCGCAATGATATTAGCGGGAGGGAAAGGTCTAATTTCATGGAAGCTATACTGGCAGTGCAGCTGTAATTAGAGTGAATGAAACACGTGGAATTGTTCTGGAACATTTCTAGAGCAGAAATTAAGTTTGCTTGGGTGAGATCCCAGACCGGTGTAGCATACTCCAGTTTCGATCGAATCAGTGTTTTATAAAGGAGGAGTTTCAAGCAAGGAGGAAAATGATAAAAATTTCGATGAAGGTAACCTAATGTGCAATTATCTTTGTTAATTAAGTGCTCAATATGAGTAGACCAGTTCAGGTTTGATGCGATGTACATGCCAAGACATTTATATAAGTCAGCGACTCAAAATAATGTTATCAATGCAGTATGGTGGTGGACAGGAAGATTTTCTAGATACGTGCATGACTATACATTTAATACTATTTTGCTGCATTAACCATTCGTACACCAATTAGCAACTGCACTAAGATCAGATTGAGTGAAGAAAAGTCATAGTTATAGCACTACACAGACAGTTTTTCAGGGGATAAAATTATGATAATGGGGCTTGACCCATGTTTTATACTTGAGAGAAACCTCCTTCACTGCGTTCTCAAAACTACAGTATGATGCACCCATAATTAGCTTGTAAAATCTAGGCTATGTCTAGAATATGGCTTAGTTTTGCATGTTTGCACCTGCTGGAAGATGTTATCTTCACTTAGCTTTCCAAAATATGGTCGCATGCTTTTGGGACTGTTCAGATTTCACTGAAATATCAAGTGAATCAAGGTAATGATTGACTTTGTTACTCTTAGCTGTTTCTGTGTTACTATCGTATGCTACTCATTTGTAATAAAGCAAGTTAGTGGTGGTCTCATTCGAATGTTGCTTGGTGGTAAGCGCTTTTATAAGGCTTGGTCATGATTAAATGTGAATCTGGTATAGTGTTCAACTCGGTAGCGTAATAGCGTTTGAGAAGTGCCAGTGTAGATGTGGTGCAGACAGCTGTGCCACTTTCTGAAGCACTGTTATTGAGTTGTCCTACTTTGTAAACTGTCCTGTTGTACTCGTGACCTCACTAGGTGCATGTCCCACACTAGGCATCTTTTACATTTTACATCGCACTTTCTGAGACTTTATGCTACTTTTACAGGCACAAGGTGAAGACGACGTTTCTGTCACAGTAGAAGATGGGGCAAACTTCATGGAAGAATTCTTTGCGGAGGTAAGTTATGCATTCATCGACTGGATTAAAGCTTTGCACGTGGTAGTCGATAGCCTGCCACTAAAATGTGAGTAATTGAAAAGTGTTTTCTGACCCACTGCCTCTTATTATATTTGCTTCTGATTGCACATTAAGTTAGTGCAGGAAACGCTAGACTGAATGAATTACAAAATTATATTACTCAAGCTTTAACTCTTTCATTCAATGTACCTTGAAGACTCTGGAACCTGTTGCAGTAGCGCAGAAGTTAAGCTGTAATGAGCTCGAGATCATAAGATTGAAGTTGGCCACGAGAACCGCGTATTAAGGTGGCGCAGCATGCAAAGACTTTGTTTCACTATGTTATGATATGGGACCGATCTTCAAGGACCTGTTTTGTGCATTTATGTACAAAATAACAGAACATACCGATACTAGTTGGTCAGGAGCATGTGGGATGTGTGCTCAGCTGCATGCTGGAGATTTGGTAATACTCCTCGTGGCTTACAGCAAAAAAAAAAGTGGACATTTTATACAACTTCTGAGCGTGACTCTAGGCATAGATATTTGGTTCTTTAACAAAAGGAAAAAGAAAAAGTATACATATTACTTTGTTCATGTTTTATTATTTTGTCAATGTCAAACATACCTATGATTTAAGATGCCTATATTTTTTTAGCACTGTCATTTCTGTTGCATTGTCATCCTTGAAAGTGTGCATGATTTTTGTTTTTGTGCAGTAGTGCCTGTTTATTCCTAGATGCATAGAAATTTGCAGAAATATTGTCTCAGAGAAATTCAGTGTCAGCATCTGTGTAAGCCAAAGTGAGAGCTATTTATTGTTTTTGGGTGTAATAATAGTTGTTTGATTTTTATGGTCGTAACGTAAGACAGCTCAGTGTGCATTCTAATAAAGTTAGTCCAGACTTCATGTAGAAGTGACTGCCTTGCTTAGGTTCGCAACACTATTTTCTTCGCTTTGCAGCTTCCGGCAAGATCATTTATTTGTCATTATCTCTGCAAGTCAACCTCATAATGTTTGTTTTGGGTATTATGCTCAGCGCAACAGAGGGCATTTTGCATACAGGAAAACGTGATTCATGAATTCCCATGGTTAGATTTAGTTGCTTTAGAGAACTTCTGTTGTACAGAGAACATTGAAACAAACAAAAAATGGTAAATGTGGCTAAAAATGTCATTAGCCAAGCTAGTTACTATCGGCATACTCCATATCTTTCACGTGGGGTCTACAGCTGCAGCACCTAGTAGGCATCAAGCAGTTGCTTGTGCGGACTTTCGCCAGCAATGGCCAGCTGTTGCCTTATCTTCAAATTTCATGTTGACATTTTGAAGTGAATGGGGCTGCGTACGGGCCGAGGCTCGCTACCCTCTGTGTGGTTGCTCTTCCCACGGCAGTAACATTTCCCAGAGTTCAGCGCCCTTCGTGCCACAGCTGTGCGCGTGACAGCTAGCAGAAACAGAGCGACGTGCGTGTTGTTACTGTCTTGCTTGAGCCCTTGGGCTTGCCGCTGTTCTAGAAGGAACAAACTGGTAGTGCACTTTTGCTGATTTATCTTATCTCGCAGGCCAATTTGTTTGCGTCAAATGATTACATCCGCATATTACCAGCTGTTAGGGAGATCATGGATGACTGATCACCTGTCAAACTAGGCAGAGAGCTCAGAGTTCCATTCTTTTTACATTTCTGATGGCATGTTATGGTTATATGATGTAAAAACATTTTAGTGTGAACGTTTTGGTAAAGTTTAAATAAATCTTGAATGTGTTTCATTGATGACCATGTAATTTGTGAAAACATGCCCCACACATTAAGTGTTCCATCAACATTTGTCTCCACCTCTTGGTCTTTGTTTTGCCCATCCACTAAGCTTTCTCAACTAGCCTCGTGAGGAACATTTAAAAATCATTCTTTTTTGTATGTTGTGTTCGTGTTTCTAGAATGCGGTTTTCCGATTTAACAGCTTTAAAACAAATAAGAAAAGCAGCACAGTTGGCAAGTTTAAAATGGTTCTTTTCTTGGTAATAGTGTATGTTGTTGGGCATAAGAAGTATGGTGATGAATAAAAGGTGGCCCTTTATTTGGTTTTTAATAAAGGCACGTTTGGTCAGCAAAAGTCACAGGGCTTGCAGAAGTCCTGCGATCACCACCAGAATTTGAGGCATTGATAGCCATTATTTCACATAACATGCAGAACAAGCTGGCATGGTGTTACTTAACTGTCCGCCTACTGCTCAAACTCTACCTCCCTGTGCACATTTTTTTTTTTCATCAACAAAGCTATACTAATTCGAAATTTTGTGCTTTCACTTTGATAAAGTTCACGTGTTCCTGTAAATGTGCTCATTCTTTCTTTACAAACATAACAAAATGGGGTGGTAAAATTTTGAAAGTATGTTTATATCATCACCATTTCCAGGTGGAGGAGATTCGGGAGAACATCGACAAAATACAAGCAAATGTCGAAGAAGTCAAGAAAAAACACAGTGCCATTTTATCGGCTCCACAGACTGATGAGAGTATGTACCATTGTGCGACTTTTTGTGTTTGATTTTTGTCTTCTTTTTGTGTGTGGTTCGGCTTGTTTAACATAATCTAGAAACCATGTTGCACTGCTTTCAGTAGGCACCGGAATACTATTCGCTACTCAGTATAGGAGCCACAGTTTTTCACAGCCCATTTTTTTTTTCTGATGTAAAAAGGAGAATCCATGTTCTTTCTCTGTTGTCACTGTATGAAATGACATTTGCTTTGTCAGGAGTCTCTTGTCAAAAAGAATTGTGGCACATTTGTCAAACATCAGTTTTTCGAATTACAGCCACCTGAAGGGTGTCCTGTGCTGGCACGCATTTTTCTTTTTTACATGATATTCTGCTGATGAAGATGCAATCACCAGTTAGACTGCTGGTTGCAGTCAACACATGCAGGTGAAAGCAGAATGTTATTATTTATCTTGTCCCAAATCGATGTCAAGCAATTAATGATGCCTGGTTGTAATTAATATAAAGTTCTTTCTATGGTACGTGTCATCATGTCACAACACTCTCAATGCTGTTTTAAGGCATTGAAATCTGTAATTACAATTCAGTGACATCGAACATTAGCGATACAAAGCAAAAAGAGTGTAATGCATAGTGAGATGTCAAATGTACAGCACTATATATATTAATAGTGAAATGCGGGGTACAATGCGTGTGCAGTTACATATTTTAGAGAATGAATGAATGAATGAAACATCAAGGCAGTTGGGATACATGCAGAAAACATAATCATCCGTCTAGTAGATAACTTTTATATGCAGTTACTAGCTCAGCTTAAAGGCTGTTTCACATGCTGTGATTGCAGAGCAAAAACTCGTTCTATTCGCCCTGTTTGCTCATTTCTCAACCACCGCTATTGGTGGTTTTGTTTCACACAGGTTGCGAATGGATTGCGATTTTCGCTTCGCATGTCGATGGTGCACAAGATTGCTTGCTGCAGTTATTTGTGGCAGCCACTGCGGAATTTTTCAAATTTAATCTAGTTTCAAATGTAAACCTTTGCATTATGATATTGTTGACTTTTCCTCAATGGTAATGAAGAGCATGCACAATTTTGTCATGTAAAAACCCTTCTTAGTTATAATTTGTTTCAAAATGCAAAACAGGGGCCATGACCAAAACACTTTCTTCGGTCCAATTTTCATGGCTTGGCCAGATAAGCACTACTTCAATGTGTCTGCACTAAAAGTTGCTCCACTGCTGCAAGTGGAGAGAAATTTTTTCAACTTGTTCATTGCTCACCGCTGACCATTGCAACAAGAGGGAACGGCTGCGTTTTCACTGCGAGAAATTTCGCAGCCTGAGAATTGCGGCATTCTGCATCATGTGAAACGACCTTAGTACGTTTGTATCATTGTAAAAAAAAAACCGAGAGACAAATTCATTTTTGTTTCATATGCATCAAGATAAACCCTATCAAACGCTGTGTTAGCAGTTATTGTATTAGGAATAGCTGTGTAAAGCACTTCACGCATTAGAGGAGAGATACGAACGTATAGATTAGAAAAATTTGGTCATAGAGTGGGTGTGCTTCTTGGCATACGACATGTGTAGAGGACTTGGTCGTTAATTTTTTCTGCAGCAAATGCTGTTATGAGATCACAACAGCCGCTGATTTTGGTGGCTTAGTTGTTTGCCACCACTGCTGTTAGGGTCAGTAACCGCTATTGTGCAATATAAGCCAAAAAATATATGCAGGATTGGATAGGACTTAAAGCTGGGCCATCTGCAAGGCATTGAAATATTCTATCTCAGCGCCACACCAGTCCTTGAAACTCTTTTGCAAAGAGAACCTGATCCCTTTTTGTCGGACGAAAAATCTCATTAATATACGCAATGTGACGTGGTAGAAGAGTAAAATAACAACCAAGTGTCACACAATGCAAATCGCATAACAAGTGGGTCGTAAAAGCCTTCCAAACCATCAGAAAAGACCGAGCTATGAATCTTTAGTCATGAGCCACGGTATCAACAAAGTGCATGTAATGCCTTGAAGATACATTGCAGGTACCTCACTTCACGGAATACCGAATGTAATGACATAGTATGTGCTTTCCTACTTCACTAAAATTATGATTCATGTATTACTGGTTTTCTTGCAAGTCTACTTGTTCTAGTTGCCTCGAGAGAGTTTGTTTTGCGGGCTCTAGAAAGATTGTTCTTCCTGCTTTCGCTGTGATTTGCTGTGCGTTTGGCGTAGACCTGTGCATGTTTTTTTTTCTTTTAGTTTCGCTACGGCGATGCTGATGCCATGTAGTTTTCTTCATTATCGCTTGTGTTTTGTTATGCAGAAGTCAAGCATGAGCTGGAGGACCTTATGGCCGACATCAAGAAGACTGCCAACAAAGTTCGGGCCAAGTTAAAGGGTGAGTGTCACCATCAAAATGAGGCCGTTGTGGCCGGGCATTAATCCCTCATTCGAATCATTAGAGAAGACTGAGCTATAAATCTTTGCCATCGGCCAAGGTATCAATAGAGGGCATGTTTCGCAGTGTCATTCATTCTTGCTACACACATTTCACATCACCTTACTTATTTTAATACCGATATGCTTTACCCTCCGGAGAGTAGGAAATTTTAGGCCCTTATACAGCTGCATAACATCGTCGTAGTTAATAGCGCTCTCTGGCTGAGCATGGCCCTTGCGCCACTAGAACTTGCATATCATCATCATCAGGACCACTCGGCCATTTTTTTTTTAAACCATGTTAGGATATGGCTGTTCTTTATTGGCATTAACAGTCTTGCAAGCAATAGTGTAATTCAGTTTGCTTAGAAACTTACGAAACTTGAAATGATCAAATATAGTAACCAGCTTTAGTGCAGGTTAGTCTCTTTAGTAGTCCATATGAATAATTCTTTTGTTCTTACTAGGTACTCCTATTTATTGCATATATAGAAGGCTCTCTGTACCGTACTGTCACACAAAAAATGGTATAGATTCATATTCATGGATTATTTTCATTTGCATAATTATGTTTTCTCAATCCTGTTTGTAGTCATGGAACAGAACATCGAACAGTTGGAACAGACGCAGATGATGTCCGCAGACTTCAGGATACGCAAGACACAAGTAAGAACTAAGCAATAAAATTCTTTTCTCGAATCACTGTGCCACATGATTTTGAAGGAGGAAGAACTGTTTCTCCATTGTAGTAAACATGAAGAAATAATTGCTAGGATCATGGTTTTTAAACTTGCAAATTTTATGCTGATATTTATAAAATGTAAATATTGCAATACTCTTCACTGTAAACTCAGCCTGTTGTACTCTTGTGCTCCCAAAAATGTTCTGACCTCATGGTGCTAAACAAGATAACCCACATTGTTTTGTTATCAGTGTGCCACCAGTGTATTTTATTATTGCAATGCCCACAAATGTATAAGAATATGCTTATTCCATAAAAGTGGGCCCCTGGGAGTCGTGGTATTCTTCCTGGAATCGACAACTGCATGCCAATTTCATTTGCACAACAATCAAAGGAAAGGGTCCTTATTTTAGCTTGCATGTGGGCATGAATATGTGCTATCAAATTGGAGCTCTGTTTGGTCTTTATCATGACTTATCATACCACTTCATATGCTTAATACGTACTTTGGTAGTCATTGTGAAGATTGAACACCTGAAGAGCACGAGTTAACAAAAAGGCAACATGTACAGGTACACCGACGTGTAAGTTTTTAGAGCAAGCCTTAGCTGTTTGTCTTCTCGAGCGATTCAGTATTCATCATACGGTCATTAGCAAATGCTCGCAGTCAGCTGACTAGAGCTTCTTGTCAAATTTTCAATGCTGCTTCGCCTGTAGTTATTGCTCAACTGACTGTTGACACCATTTCTTCTTTTTTTTTTCTCTCTCTCTTTTTGGGCCATCGCTTCTTCTCTCTGTTTTTCTTTCTTTGGCACATAGCACTCAATGCTGTCTCAGAAGTTTGTGGAAGTGATGACAGACTACAACAAAACCCAAACAGATTACAGGGAGCGGTGCAAGGCCCGCATTCAGCGGCAACTAGAAATCAGTAAGTGTCGCCCATGTCTGCATATTTTTTGAAGAATGGGGAGTGTGCCGATTCCCAAATAATGGCAGGCCATAAAGGGGACATTGGCTTGTCTTCGTGAAATTGCTGGCACAGTTTGTTTGTTTGTTGCTGTCGTTATAGGGCTTATCAGGTGCTAAACGTATTTTGGTTTATCTGTGTAAAAGATTATCTAAACAGAATCTTTGCCTTCTGGAACCAATTTACACGGTTCTATCAAGACAACACGCCCGGTTGCACAGTCTAGTGCAGTGTTCATGCACACTTCGAAGCATGTCAAATATTCCAAGAGTCGTCACAACCACTATTATTGCAAGGTGTCTCTGTAAAGATGACAACCATTTTCCAGCCATTTTCTGAAGGTTCTTCTAAATTTATCCTGAATACAAAATGCTGTGCGTGTTTCAGATTCCCTGTGGGCCCATAGTGCTTTTTTGGTGCAAAACCACACCAAAAAAACAAGCGGCAAAGCGCTTTGTTCTGTTTTCTTTCTTCTGGTGTTGCCTCACAATAAAAAAAGCACTGTGTATTCTATCTAGCCCGCTAATGCATTGTTTTTCCTATGGGCCATTTGTGCAACTTTTTAGTACCTCGATCCTGAAGTACCTAATTATGCTTTAACTAAAAACCTGTAACAACTTCAGGGTTTTTGGATCACTGCTATTAATATGCCAAGAAGCAGCCACAGCCCTGCTTTGCCTAATGGAACATGGCAGCATGAAAATGTACATTTGGCCACATTGAGCAGCGATTGTTACAGTTGTCTAATTTCAAAGCTGCTAAACATATAACAATCTGTCAAAGAGATTTCTGAAACTTTCGATTGCCAAGTTTTGTTGTTATCGACTCATCTTATATCGATATTGTTAGTTCTTTTTCATACATTATGCTGGGCTATCTATGCACTCTGTTCATGCCCGTGCTCATCAGAGTTTGAATTGATGTTCATATTCATTGAGAGCTGTCTATTTTTCCAAAAACCATAACATTGTAGAATGTTGATTGATTGCATTTGGTCTGAGAAGTTACTGCCGTATGACCCAGTCAGCTACAATGACGGACAAAGAACATGTGTGGCTTATGATCCACTCAGATCACTCATCATATAAACCAAAATATGTTTTTTTTCTCTTGTTTAATTTTTAAATGTAGAGCTATGACACACGTTTATCTGATGACACAAAGAACGTCTTACTTTCTTGCTGGCTTAGTTTATCAGCTGCTGACATAAGCTTGCGCCGTAGAGCTCTGAAGCTTTAAACTGTCGTAGGCTTCTGGCGCTGTAGTGTACAACCATGCCTTGTATGCATTGTCATCTGCAGCTGGGCGTATGACAACCAACGAAGAACTTGAAGAGATGTTGGAGAGTGGGAACCCTGCCATCTTTACACAAGGAGTAAGTGAAATACAGTTTTAATAAGTGAAATCTGCTAGTAAAGTTTACATTGTAAGTGGAATGAAAATGGCACCAGAAGAATGAGTTATTCTGTGATTGAATGGCATCAAATGCAGCTAGTTTAGCATACCTGTTTGTGTGTGCGTGCATCTGGATGTGTGCTAAAGGCAGTGTATTTTAACAAAATGAAGTAATATGCATTCTGTTGTGTGGCAGCTGTGCGTTAAGTGCACATACTGACACATGTAATGAGAGACCAGTTCATATATATGAAAAGTAAACAATCATTAGCTCTTTTTGTTTCATCACTACTCATTGTCTTAGGTCATTGAAAGGATGATCAGACCAGAACCAGTTTTTTTTTACATCAGCGTTTTGGCTCGTTTATACTGCCAACTTGTAGAAGTTGCATGATCAGTTGGTCACTTTGGCCAAAAGTGACTTGATTAGAGTAAAGGGAGGAAGGGGGATAGATCAAGGGCTTGTTTCCTTGTTAGAAACAAGCTCAGAAACTAGCTGACAATGAAGCCAAGGAAGGTAAAGAAAAGGGGACACTATTTGTGGTCTTTAACTGTAGTGTAGTAATTATGACATCAATTGACCGAATCAAGGTGCACAGAGAAAAACTTTGCTCTTGATTGGGTCTGAACCAACAGCCAGTCACTAGCTGCTCAGTTCTTCACTCGCAAACCTCGGAACCAATCAAATCTCTGGGAACAGGATGTCTGCCTATTTTAAGAGTCAGTAGCGATGTGAGCCAAAGTGGTGGGTTTCACCAGCCAGTTAGAACATCGACTGACGTGAATTCCTTTCAGGTTGCTAGTCGCAATCCATTGTGCAAACTCCGTCAACAACTGCTGTAAATGTGCCCTAGAAAAGATCTACAGTGCTGTAGCATCTTTGCTTTGCAGTGTTTCAACATCCTCCTTATCACTGTTGACAACCCAATGTGAAACTATGGCACTTCTTTCGAGTAGTGCCTTTGTGCGTCAGTTGATTGACCTGTGGTGCTGTTCTGTTCCCTCTTGGCTAGATCATCATGGAGACCCAGCAGGCAAAGCAGACCCTGGCAGACATCGAGGCCCGTCATGCAGACATCATCAAGCTGGAGACGAGCATTCGAGAGCTACACGACATGTTCATGGACATGGCCATGCTCGTAGAGAGCCAGGTATGTGCACAGGGTAGAGAAGTCTTGCTTATCTTATCTGGTGCTGCTCTTCTCGGACTTGGATAAAACTCGGCTCTGAAGAGGCTGAGTTTCTGCATGACACACTGTTATGGTGGCTAACAAACAGTGTGTCAGTTCTTAGCTTTTAGTTCATAACTATCGCAAATAAGGTCTGCAAGAGCGAGCAACATCTTGTTCAAAGATAACTCTTTGTGTACTGCACATTCAGTTCAAGTTATCTGTCGTGTAACAGACTTGAATGATCAGTCGGTTGAGCTTTATTGGGATATCACTGTAAAATTGTGCCTCTTCTCCCTTACTCGGAGTGAGCAAGCTTGTAGGCTGGAAAGAAATGCTTGACATGAACAGAGGTGAACAAAATATTTGAATAGGTTGCCTTGCAGCCTACAGCCTGTAGCCATTTTATATAACTGTAGTACCTTTTTCAAAATTCTACATCTCTCTGTCTAATGCCCTCCTAGAGACCTTTTCACATTATAGCTCCCTGGGCACTGCCATAATCCTGACGGGGCTGCGTTAGGTAGGCATGACCCCTTCAAAAAATGCACTACCGAGACTGTGATGTCAGCCTATGTGATCTGGCGTGCAGCGCAATATGGCAGCATTTTTTTTCTCTCTTTTAAAGAGGCTTATCCAGTGTAACAGAGAACTGCATCACCACTGTTAAAGAAAAATACTTTTCATAAGCTTTTTCTTTGGCATTGCTGATGACTGACAGGTAGATGGTGTGAGGTCTTCAAGAGGCCAAGTAATGTTGGCTGTAAAAGTGTTTATTTGTTCCGTGACATTGCCAAATGCATTACCGTCGGCAGCATTGTCTTTTAGCGCTGCCATGTATTGTGAAAGCGTGTAGCCAAAAGGTTTTGCAAAACAAAAACATTGCCTGAACAAGGCGTTTTCAGATACTGAAAGTGCATTATAGCCCAGCGTTCTCAGAGGCCCTGCTGCAGTGATCTAGTGGCTAAGGTACTCTGCTGCTGACCTGCAGGTCACGGGATCGAATCCCGGCTGCAGCGTCTGCATTTTTGATGGAGGCGAAAATGCTGTAGGCTGGTATGCTCAGATTTGGGGGCACATTGAAGAACCTTAGGTGGTCGAAACTACTGGAGCCCTCCACTGGCATCTCTCATAACCATATGGTGGTTTTGGGACATTAAATCCCACATATCAATCAATCAACCAGTCAGCGTTCTCGGAGTGTGGGCATGTGTTGGTTGAATCTAGTGCTGTAGCGCAGCTAGATGCCACCAACACACGCCCACACTCCAGCAGCCCCACTCTCGGATACTTTGTTCCTAGTTAGTTCGACAGGCACACCCATCGGTGGAGTATGCGCAGTTCAGTGTGCGCACAAACCAATCCCTGACCAATGTACCACTCTGAAAAAGTGTGCCATTGGCTAACTAACTTAACCTTGTCTGACCATTGGAAAAACTATGGTGAAATGGTGTCGCTGCCGCTTCTCTTCACAATGCATTGCAAGTAGGTGCAGACAGTGCAACAAGCTCACAGATGATCCGAGAGCAGTCTCAATGCCTGCGCTCAATGCCTCCTTGATTTCGGGAGAAGCAACACCTTGAAATGGTTATTTTTCACTCTGTATGCCGTGGTAGAAAAGAATTTTGGGGAGAATGAAGTCCCGGTATGCCACCCTCTGGCTACGCCCCTGCTCACAGAGAAAACTTCCCCGAAGAAATTTGGGAGGCAGAAAATTCAGCGTGACGCGTCACCACATTTGCTACATTGCACTGCCCCTCATGTGAAAATCAAGTGCCTAATGCTTCCAAGCTGCTGTCACTGGTCTTTTTTCTTGTACTACCATGTATAATTGTATTCAGTGCATGCAGCCTGCATTGACTGATTCTTTCGTGTATGTGCAAGCCGGTTTGGATCACTTGTGTGTTCACTTTTACTTTTGGGATGGGAACACGAGGTAGAGTGGTTGCAGCAATACAAAGTTAGAGCCAACAGAACCCCCCTATACTGCTGTCATCAGTCCCATGAGGCACAGGTTTAAAATGGTTCCTTCCAATCGGCTCGGGCCAATCGGGGGGCTCCGCTATGTGTCCAACACCTCCGCTAGTGAAAATAGTTGGTCATGTTAGGTCAGATGTGCACATCTAAATTGTCAGTGCCAGGCATTGAGCAGTCATTGCAAAACACAGTTCGCCATTTGAACGCCAGAAATTTGCTCCACGAGTGTCACGCTTGCATCTTTAACGGGGCACGTGAAAGAGGGCATTTTTTCCTGTTCCTTACGCGCTCCCATGCCCCATCTTACAGGGAGAGATGATTGACAGGATTGAATACCACGTAGAGCACGCACGGGACTACATCGAGACTGCCAAGCAGGATACCAAAAAAGCACTCGTCTACCAAAGCAAGGCCCGAAGGGTGAGTTCGGTGTGCTTCTTTCAGCCTCCAGCTTGTAGGTGTACATATAGCAGCTACCACACTTTGTTCGCAGACAGAGGCAAGGCTGATGCATTGCTTTAAAGAGCAGCTGTCCTTTCATCTGAAGTAAACCTCATTAAACAAAGTTGCATCTTGCAAGAAAATAAGTTTTTTATATTCAACAGTCCGTTGTAAAGGTTATTTCTGTCACTTATCTATTGCAAGACTATTTTTCGTTTACTTCTCTATAAATGGTATTTCGTTGTATCCGTGTTCTTTATATCGAGGTTTAAGTGTATCTTCATTAACATTTGGCAAACACTCGCACCCTTCTGCGTGGCTCATTGAATGTGTAATGCATGCGAACCTTCGTAGTAGATATGCATCTATGCCGCCTCTTCCAAATAGTATATGTCGCAAGCAATGCTACTTCATTACTATTATGCCCTTCCTTTCTGTTCTTTTTGCATCTGTTGTTTAGAAAGCTTTTACAACTCACTAAATTCATGCAGCTTTAAGCAGAACTGTCAAGTGAAGCTCCTCTAGTGATCATTTGTACATCTCTGTGGTTAATTAAAACCTATTAAGTTTCATTTGTCTTGGAAAGTACAGGCAACACTCATGTGAGCTTTTGTAATGACTATGGGGGAAAGAAAAAAAAGGTAATCAGCAGTGTTTCTATTAGCAATTTGACTTTTAAATATGGGGCTCAAGAAAAATATATCAGCTGTCCTTGCTATTTTGGTCAGATGAGATAATTTTTGTGAAATATTTCCTTAGCATGTTGATCAAAAATGCAGATACTATTGCTCTTTCTGAAATTTCTCTAAGACCAGGAGGGCTCTCAGTGAGAACCTTATACTGTATTGTGTAATTGGCATAGAGAAATGTCTTTTGTGTTGTGGCAAGTAGTTTTGTCTAGATTTTTTTTATAAATTGCAGCTTTATTATTATTATTATTATTATTATTATTATTATTATTATTATTATTATTATTATTATTATTATTATTATTATTGAATATGTATAGGCATTTTGGTGTAGCTTGAATCGCAGCTTGTCTAACCTCATGTGCAAAAATAGGAACTACTAATAAATACTCCCAACGCTTGATTGACTAAAGGGATATATAGAAATGGAGTTCCCTATTGTCGGGCGATGCGTGCTCATCGATATATCGATATATTGCACTGATTTCCATAGGTTTATTTTGTGTTGGTTATTAGATTTTGCTTTGTCTTCCATGAGCATATTAAGTTTGTTACTTACATTTATATTTTTGTTTGTTTTGTTTTTCACCCTTCCCACACTTCCTTGCACGCTGCACCCCAATCCCGTCTCGATTTTTTGTGTTTCTCCACGACATCCCCAACTGTCGATCGATCCTCCACAATGAAATGAAACGACGACAACATCCGTTGTTGCACTCTCCAGAAGTGCATCATTATAATCTCCATCGTGGCTGTGATACTCATCATTATAATCATAATCCTCGCCGTGCAATTGTCGTGAGGAACCAGAACAACCTGGACAACAAACGGGAGGAGGCTACGCAGTGTTCGAGAGTGGGCACGCAGATGCTGACAGTGCGAAAAACATTCATTGTCCCTCGGCTCTCCCTCCTTCCTCTCCTGGGCACAGCATATTCATCATGCCCAGCGACAATCGTGCGTGCCACCTCAAGCGTTTGGCTACCCGTGCTAATTGCTGAATGATATTTTTTTTCTTTAGTTACGCTATGTTCTTTTGTTGTTGTTTTTTCGTTTGACCAAGCTCAGATGTATAAGCAGTTGCCTTCCTTTTCTTCATTGGTCTGCCGCAGAATTCAGCTATCTCTGTATTATTCGCGGGCAGGCCCCGACTATTGTCCAAAGTACGTGTAACGCTTTAGCGTAATGCTCCTCCGCTATTGTCTGTAACGAGGATGTGCTTACGAAACGTGCATATGCTCTGGTGCTTTTCTTCAACAACAAGCGATTCCTTCTCACAGAAACTGAGCAGGGCAATCACTTCAGAGTGTTATGCAAGCATCACAACTGCCCTGGCCAAGGAACAGTGCTCTGAATTCGCTTGCTGAAGTTTGGCGAACTGTTTGGTTGAGGAAGGTTCGATGATACATGGATTGGCACTTTGTAGGCACATCGGAGGGATGATGCGAGAATAGGAAGGGTATGAATGTGAACAGCACTTTGTGACACAGAGCCTAAATCAAAAACAAGGAAGGTCGGCCTTTTTTTGTTTCTTGTGCCAAAATGAACCGTTTAATGTGTCCCGTCGGCTGATTTAACCCACCGCTAAGAAAAATTGCATTGGGCAGAAATGATTCATTGAGACTAAACTTACGCTCTGGCTTTGATTCATGCTGAATGGCAGAGTACCCAGTGGATCATGTGTGTAATCATATAGAGTGAGCACATATGTATGTGTATGCATATGGCGTCCTTTTTCAATTGTTCGAGAAGTGATGTTTGAGAGGTGACAAAAGAAGAGATGCGGGACACAAAGGTGTGGTGCATGGGGCCTTTTTATACTTGGGGTCTCTTTTTGGAAGCATGAAACATGTGAATAGAGTGTGTTATGGAAAAATTCTCTCATTTTTCTGCTGCATTAGCTTATCACATATTTGGTAAATACATTATATCGAGGTATCAGTTTAGCTTCAGCTCTCTCATTGTGTCATTTTTAGGAGTCTTGTATGTGTACACATAGGCATAGGAAGGGGGGCGCCAGCTTGTCACAGCGCCCCTCTTCTCTGTTAAGTCGCTGTATGGGGCAGACTTTGAACCCCTCTCCCCCATTCCCTTCATAGGTGACTTGGGGGAGGGGAGGGCAACCGCTCCCTTAGCTGCCCCCCTTCGTGCACACGCCTGTGAGTGTACAGAGTGGGCTTCACAACTGTATACCTGATTGAAGTCTATATAAACCATCGTTGACTGAAATACAACCTTCAGTTGGCTGTATGCAGCTTGTGTGAACACCCGCGGCCACGTCTGTGTAGAGCGCGCGAGAAGCCGGTTTTTGCTCTGTGGGTCAAAACCTTGAGGGTGTTTCGGGCTCTGAAGTAGTGTAACAGGAGAATGTGAGGCCTAGTTGTCAGGCTGAGCATGCCACAGCCCGATACTGCCTCAAGGTTTCAAGCCGCAGAACGAAAACAGGCTGCTCGCGTGCTGCCACTGTACATAAGTTCCAGTGTATGTAAATTCACTAGTGAGTTAACCGCAGTGCAGCAAACTTGACTGAAATAAAAGGTAGCTATAATGAGTTATAGCGAGCAGAGGAACAAAAGAGCAATATTTCGACACGAAAAAGACATTCCCGAATAATCAAAAAAGCAATTGCAATGTATACACATAGGCTTTGTAGTTGCATTTGCCAGTTTCAACAAGAATCAGATCAGGGTTCTTCGATCAAAGTCGTTTAAACAAAAGTGGACAGGCACTTCGCCATTCAGTTGGTAAATACACTGCTATGGTTGGGTACAACTTCAGAAATTGAGGGCATTTTCAGCGTGATTGCATATGCCCTCAAACTTGCATCAGTGAGAGTGCACTGATGTCGTAAGCCGAACAGTTGGCGACTCCCACTGTTGGAGAACATTACCGAGTACATGAGCGAGACTGTCTTCAGACGTGGAAGCGTCGAAGCAATCAACTGACACACTTTGGTAATCTGGACAAGGCCTGTCTCGGCTTTTTAGGTTGTGTACTACTATTAGTACCCTTTTGTCATCACAGTACGGCTAGGGAAAAGCAGCATGTCAATCAAGAATGACAGGCAAATTCTGTGTAGTCTGTCTTCACTGAACCTTTGATGTAGTTGAGCTACTGAAATTTGGCTGTAGCACCACATTTATCAGTAGACAACACTAGTTTTTCAATCTTTGCATATATGGCTTACTGGCAAAGCAAGCCTGACACATTTGCTGGCAAATATAACATTGTGTATGCTTTATGTTCCTATTTATGCACGGCGTTTAGCACAACATCTAGCACGCATACAAAATAAATCGGTCCCTTATTGTTTCGGTAGGCTTGGCTTAAAGCTTTACGAGGCGCAGTCACTTACTAGTCGCAATACAAGGTTCACAAACTGCCGTGCTTTTTGTCTTTGTGTTTTCTTTTGTTTTTTATGTGACTGCAGTTTTCTGCCATTATCTTGATGCATGAGGTCAAGTGCTTTGGTCAAGTGCTTTGTGAACAGGTTTTTGTTTTTGAATGGTTGACACTTATTATGGAGCCAGCATTATAATTTTCTCTTTATCCCTGTGTCTCTCATATTTTCGGTGTTTCACCTCTAGCATAACTTTTCAGATTTCTGACTTGTTTATTTTTATCATTTTTTTTTTGCGTGCTTGTTCGTCAAGAACTCCAACATGAGGGACTGTGCTCCCTGTATAGTAAAGCGCTGCTTTCATTTGTGCTTTCTTCAGAGTCGTATTTTAAGAAGAGTGTATAGTGTGGCTAAAGTACGGGTGCTCATAGTTACGGTGCTTGCACGTCCTGTGGACACACTCACACATACAAACAAAAATTTTTTGGTGATCTTTGGCACTGCCATTATGAACAAATCTTTTTTAGTGTAGCTATATAGTTGGAGTCTACACCAAAGCGTGTCGTTCTCAATCCATTTGTTATTTAGTGCACACTCCTTTGTGTTGGCAGTATGCTCGTGCTTTCAGTGTTGTCGCTTCTTTTCACAAGTTACCCACACGGTGCAGGTTATCTTCGATGTTTTTCTATCATTTTGGTTGTTTTTTTTTGCTGTTTGACAACTATCTTTCTAAAATATCTCGACCTTTTTGCATAACATGGTCTGGATTTCTTGGCATGCTGGGCATTATGCATGATGTGAGACTGCTAACTACTGCATGACTGCCGAGTGCTGCAGTTAAGTGGTTCGAGGTGCACAGTTATTTCTGATATTGCTGCATAAGAGGGACATCATTGAGCTCCTTCAATGATGTTTTAGCAATTCACTGCTCGTGCATTGACTGTTCAGCTTTTCAACAGAGTTCTTGGGCACACGTCATTAACAGGGACACCCGTGTAACAATGAAAGGAAACTTTGCGCGTCGATGCACGATATGACCATGGTCGTCAGCCTCTCAATCAGTCTGAACGCTTTCAGAGCTTGTTGGCCTTCCTTGCTTGGAGTTCAGCAGTCCAGTAACATGTGCATGAGCTTAGCCATCTCGGTTGTGTTAGATTCAGACAAGAAGGCGATATGTGCTTGCCAGACCCCGTGCATGGTTTAGTGACATGAACTAAGCGTTGGAGACTCAGATTCTACAGCACCTGACAACTTGTCTAAAAACCTGCAATTCCTTAGGAATGCAGGGTAGTTGAAGCTTGTGTAGTCAATGCGCCTTTGTGTGAAAAATGCACGTTTGGTTATGACAGGGGGAAAATAATTGCTTGATGTACCTGCTTGTTGGTAATTCTAGGTGTTATCCCAGTTGTATTGTCTCTGCCATTAGTGAAAACATAAATCTAGATACACTGTAGTTTTGTGTCAGTGGCACAAGCCTTTCTTTGGTGGAAGTACTAGTTATATGATACATGGCTTGGCTGCTGCTTGGCTAGCAATGGGAAAATTGCTGCTGTACTCAGATTTGTGACCAATCGATGTGAATTTGTGACTTTGCTTACCCGTTTTCTTTTAAGAAAAAACTGTCGTGTAATTTTTGAAACTTTTAGTCTGTGTTGATTGCCGTGTCTGTTCCTTTTTTTTAGGTTTTTTTTTCTCATTTCTTTTTTGTGTCCATAACTCGTCTAGGCTGTCGGTAATAGCTATTCTGTGTGCCAGAAGAAAAATGTATGTGCATATATATAAATACAGTATATATACATTTTACTTTGTTGTTTTCTGTGCCTTTGTGTTATGTTTCTTTCACTCTTTACTTTTGTGTTTCTCTTTTGGTATATCAGTTTTCTCTAGCCTCTATGAAAATGACTCTGTAAGAGTTCCTGAACAAATTTTAGGAACACACTGGCTTATTTAAACACCGGTTAGTTCTGAAACTCTCATATACAGGGCACTCAAAATAACGAAAATCTCTTAAATGTTACCACTGCTTAATTGGAACAACTGCCTTAATATGATTGATTTCTTTCTTTAATTTTGTGCCTCTGTTTTCTTCTTATTAAAGGGAACCCTTGTTAAATGCAAATTTTTTTTCGTCCTTTCAGGTTTTGCTTAATTTAAACGTAGTGTACTTCACAATATCTGCAGTTTTAAGAACATTGAATGACCTTTGCCAAAGTCATGAATGGCACTGGCTAATGCTTACAAACCTACGTCTTACATTCTCACAAATTTTTCAAAAACTGGATTGAGGGCAGCTGCTGCCTTAAGCATAGTTTGTACAGTTTTACATCTTTAATTTATAAAATCATTCAACTTCAATGATTACAAGTTCACTTTCATCAATGGCCACATTCTTCTTGTTTTTGATATTTACCTCGGTTATCATTAGTCATTGGTTACGTAGCTTGAACTATAAAATAACGAACCCCGTAATTATTTTCATTTTCCTTGTGCAAATAAAATTTATATCGATTGAATGAAGAAGGAGGCATGTAAAGTATGTTAGAGTTAATGTGGTCTTGTTTTCTTATGTATCAGCGCACGTCAACTCGGCATTTGCATAGCACATGTAATAACCTGTTTTTAAGAGGGGTTCATTGACTCTCTCGTGAGCACATGTATTGCATTGGTGTAGAGGTAGTATGAATGAAAAGTTATGGGCTCTTTGGCTTTTAAAATGCTGATAAGTGAGCACGATGCTTGCAACAGGTTGCATAGCACTTACGGTATTAAAAGCCACTGAAGCTATTTGGGCTAAGATGAAACAATCAATAACGACCGCACTTCCTGTACCATGGTATAAAATGTAGGTGATCAGCACCTTTGGGAAGTTGCCACGTCGGCTTGCCATTACCTCGTGGGCTTATACATTGCCTTGTAGGGCTTTGTTCACTGTTAAAGCTACGTAAGATGCAGTAAACTTTCTTAAATAAATTAAAGGCAGCCAAACAAGTTGGGGGGAGGTATAGCATAAAGAGAGAGAGAACACCTTTATCTAAAGAATGTAGCCTTAAAACGGCCACCTTGACCTCGGCTCGGAGACCGCCATCTTGGGTCAAGTACCCACACGCTACCAAATGTGGTAAGGGTACCTCTCGCTCCTTTACAAAAGCAGATGGGTGCCCAGTACCATTGGGAATCATACCCAGGAGATCCAGCGAGGTGGATTCTCTACCCCTTCACCACTGTTATAGTTTCATAATGTGGATCTCTCACCTCCGACATGAGCGCTTGCTTCTTGGGAAGTGAACGGGGGCAATGTGTCAGCACTGGTTATTTCAGCAATGTTCATCTTGTGGTGTTTTATCTTTACCAAAGCTCAACTTTTTTCTTTGTTCCTATCTGGTTTGTTGACGCTAACTAGAGCCTCTCTTTTCTTCAAGAACCTCGTGTGGTTGAAATTTCTGGAGTTCCACCACTACGGCTTCTCTCATAATCATATGGTGCTTTTTTGACGTTGAACCCTACATACTGAATCAATCAAATCAATCAGAGCCTCTCTCTTCCTTAGTACGTACTGTAATATTTTCGCTAACAAGTTTCACTCGGATGCCAGCGCACGTCCGTCTCTTTGTCTCTGTCCTTGTTACCATGCCTCTGTACACCTTCAAAGATGCTACTAGCACATACAACTACACTGATGCAGACTTGGCGTAGCATGTGTACCATGGTACACATGCTATGCCATTTTTAGCGTGGGCACAGTGCCAGTTGCACAGGCGTAATTGGCACGAATGGCCTAATAATTATTCGGCCAACAATGAAATATGGCCTCGTGAAATCGCCGTGCCAGAAACAGCTGATCGCCGGCCATTGTACTATTTAGAAAGTGTCAACTAACAGATGTCGCATACGAATACAGGTGTGACTGGTGCACCTCCGAGGGCCGCCAACACCACGATCTTAAGTTACGATAACAATAGTCTAAGGTTTGACGTCCCAAAACCACGATTTAATTGTAAAAGACGCCGTAGTAGAGGACTCCGGAAATTTCTACCATCTGGTGTTCTACCATCTGGCGCTGACATATGCTCGACAAATTCGTAAATAATTTTTAATTGAGTGAAAACCACCATACCAAAACCGAAACTGAACCGAGTGCACTTCTACGTGCGACGTAAGCGTTTGCCCGAACCTGCTTGACCCCAGGTGGTCTAAATTTCCGGAGCCCTCCACTACGGCGTCTCTCATAATCATATAGTGGTTTTGGGACGTTAAACCCCACATATCAAATCAATCAACCTGCTTGATTACGCTTAATGCCCGCCAGATGGCACTACCTGTCCACTCCGTTCAAGTTTGTGCCCGCACGATCCGCTGATACGATTACGCTGTTACGGTGAATATATGGCGAATCGTATGCGGCCAGCAACGCAATACCACTTGTGCCACCTGTCGCACGCTCAACAAAGGAAGCGCCAGCCAAACCCACAAAATTCATTTATTTAGTGAATACTGCCAACTTCTATGCGAAGTCGTAGGCAGGAATGGGTGACAGATAACTTGATTGGACATTTTCCAGGGCAAGAAAACAACAGAAGCTTAAAACAGAAAAAATATGTCGGGGGGGAAATATAGAAGAAAAACAGGGATTTACAAACATTGAAGTCAATGCAGCGCTTCAGAATGAGCAAGTTTTGTTGATAAAAAAAGGCGAAAAAAAACGCATATCGACACAATCGACGAAGCGTGATGCAATTGAGCTAGCGCTGAACATAGGAAAGTAATACAACTCAGACACACACGGGAGAGATTAAATGTGGTGACAATGAAATAAAAAGAAAGAAAGAAAAAAAGTTCAAAAGATAGCTGGCAGATTTGCTATCGCATTCATGAATGAAACGACAGTTGTGGATGAAACAGCTTCATCGGGCAGGGCATTCCAACTACGTGCTGCTCGGGAAAAAAATGATTTTTGGAAAGCAGTGGTTCTGCATGAAAATTCCTGGACTTTCTTGCTGTGGTGGGACCGGGCTATACGTGATTTTGATGGTAGAATATATTTAGTTTTATCGATTCCAAGGTTACTGTGATAGATCTGATAAAACAGTTTCAGTCTTTCACGGGAGCGCCTGCGTTCTAAGGGTTCCAAGTCCGAACTTTCAAGGAGGGTCGAGGGGGATGCGTTTCTTCTATAAGCGTTGTAAATAAACATAACAGACAAGCAGACACTGCAGTGACATCACTTCCATCACCTCCTCCAGGCAAAACTCAACGTCACACGCACAATGTTGTCATTAATTCTGGCAAGTGAGGTGAGCGTTTGGAGGCATGCTATAAAATTCATTTGAAAAGAATCCGCAAAACTCTCAAGCCTGCAATTTGGCATGAAAGACCCAAACGTGTAAATTGACGCATCCAGTGAATTTTATTGAGATCCAATGACCTGGAAAAATTGCTAGAGTTGGCTTTTGAGCGAAACCGGATGCAAAGAAGTTATCTGCCAGCCTTACCCCGTATGATATTACAATTTCTTGCTATCTCATTCATTGAGTTGTCCTTCCGGTGAAATTGGTTTTCTTATAATTATAGGTGTTATCCTTATTTATATAAATACTTAAGTGACTCTTCGACATAAGATTAAATGACGAGCGTGGGTTCCCAGCTCGCGTAGTAGTGTTATTGTATTGAGTCTTTTCTGCTAGTGGTCGGGTTGATGGTCTAGTGGCTGAGGTACTCTGCTGCTGACCCGCAGGTCGCGGCATCGAATCCCGGCTTCGGCGGCTGCATTACCGATGGAGGCGAAAATGCTGTAAGCCTGTATGCTCAGATTTGGGTGCACGTTAAAGAACCCCAGGTGGTCTAAATCTCTGGAGCCCTCCACTGCGGCTGCTCTGATAATCGTATATAGTAGTTTGGGGACGTTAAACCCCACATATCGAAAGTGGTCAGGTAGCAGTTTTGATTTCATTAGTCTCACACAGTTGGCGGGGATCACATAAAAGTATACACTGATTGATATGTGAAGTTTAACGTCCCAAAACCACCATATGATTATGAAAGACGCCGTAGTGGAGGGCTCCGGAAATTTCGACCACCTGGGGCTCTTTAACGTGCACCCAAATCTGAGCACACGGGCCTACAACATTTCCGCCTCCATCGGAAATGCAGCCGCCGCAGCCGGGATTCGAACCCGCGACCTGCGGGTCAGAGTACCTTAGCCACTAGACCACCGCGGCGGGGCATAAAAGTATACACTGCAATATAAATACGCGTTAAAGTCGAATCAACCGTACATTCAAGCAAGCTAAATATATGATGTTTGAAAGATAAGTCTGAAGGAAAAAAAGGGGGGGTCGTTTACAAGAGTATACTCTCTCCCAGCCCCTACACAAGGGAGACCAGGACTCCACTGAACCCCCCCTCCTTCTCTCTCTCTCTCCACCCCTCGAAATTAACGCCATTGATTGAAAAGAATCTCACCCGCACTCGCCATCTCGTGTCGCATGTCTCCTTTAAATTAGGCTTTTTTGCAATATGGGTTCATGAGTGGAGAAGCCAGCTTTACAGGAACAACAAAATAGTTTTGGTTTTGGCAGTGTTTCTCAACCTGCCTAGTCCCGCACGGGTTGAAGATAAAAAATTTATCGCTTCTCAGCGTACTAATTCATGCTTAATCAAGTGTGTGGATAATAGCTGTCATGTGCAGTTGTATGAAAAGTAGCTCGTGTAGAGGACATGGCAGCAGAAGTGATGTGTGGTGTAGCGAGAGTTTGCGTTGAACAACGTCATTGTGGCATGGCGTTATACTGTTGCGAAAGTCGTTC